ATGGTATCAGTGCCGCTCCTACAGCACACAGCAGAACACCGGAGCAGCTCTGTCGCACACACAAGTTAATTTAAACACTATTTACCTATGAGGGTCTGTCCTCAGATTTGCCCCAAACTAACGAAAACAAGCATCCTACCTTCTCCAGCGGACTGAAGCCTCTATCCGCTGTCCTGTTGGCTCTGTCTCCAAAAATGTATTGTCCAATATGAGGAGATAAAAATGGTCCAAGTCTAGGTCCAGACCTGTTGGTCGTAAAATTAGTCTTAATCCTACATCCCACTTATTCCTGAAAGTCCATATTACAACTGGTGCACAGACTTACGCCCTCTGCGTGCTACACCCAGGTGAAACCTTTCTGCCTAAAAACAAGCAGGAAGAGGCTGATAGAGCAACGAGTGATTGCCACATGTCCTGGCGAAGTTAGCGAGTGCACCGGGTAATGGCGAACCTGGTGGTGGCACCGAGTCGCCCAGCTTCTGCTGTGTGAAGGCAAAAGTAACTAGTGCCACTAGCCAATGTGTGAATCAAAATAAGAGTTTTAGGATACACAAAGCATCCAGATGCACTCATTCCAGCTTAATACTTCTTTTCTTGCTTGGCAGATGGGTTCCACTGAAGAGAAGACATATTACTCCCTAAAAACTGTTCCTCAAACACACTTTGAATTGAAGTTGAACTTGCCACAATAACTCATATAGCACATAGCACTGTTGTTACCCTTTCATGAGCCTATAGCAGTAACATGGCACCAATGGAGAGTTGGGGCTGAGCGGAAAAGACAGAGTATGCTAAATCACAAGAGGTCAGATGTGTGATAATGTGTATGAGGACGAATCACTGATCCGAGTTCACCCCCACCCTGCACCCCCAAAACGTACTTAAGGGCTGCAATGTAAATTAATGGGCAGAAGTACCAGATTTTATGTCAAATTTTCTCCAAACTTCAGGCTCTCCCATAGAACTCCATGGAGGTTGCTTCGGCCCAGCGAACTCAAAGGGCAAACACATTTAATATGAAAAAAATACATCTGTGCAGATACATGTTCAGTTTTAAGCAAGATATGAAACATATAGCCTAATACAAAATAGCAACTTTATTAACTTTTTATCTAGATCAAGTTAAGGAGTGCATATTTGCCATGTCAATCAAAATATATAAATTAATAATACTAAACACAGCTCCAGGTTGGAAGTAGCAATTAGGTCAACAGTGTAATACATGTTTTCTAAATAGTCACTACAAACTGATTACAATGCAAATAGATTTCTCATTGATATTCATTTAAATATAATGCAATAATTATTGTCTGATTTATTATATAATTATTATATTATTAATCAGCCTAATAACAAAAATCGTCCACGTATTTGGAACCAACCCGTATGTAAATGTATGGAAATGTATCCTCCTTGACTGTAGAATAAGACACTTCCGCCATGCTCAGTGGCCCTAACCTCCCCGGAGGCAGCCTAATAAATACACAGTGGAGCTTCTGTTTACATTTCCCAACCTGGTGCTTTTCTTGACATGTGCAATTATCGGCTGAACCGGGCTCTCCCTTTGGCCCCGCTGGTTCCGCGAGCCGCCCGTGCGCTCCCACCCACGGCCGAGCACTTGATTCAGAGTGGCTGATTTATGCCTCTGCTGATGATAGGTGTGCACATATTGTTTTGTCGATACAGCTGCGACGGCTCAAGGTCACCGCACGGTTAGTATTCCATCACCGCGTCTGCCCAAAGAAAGCAAAACTGTCAGGAAGTCTGCCCCTGCACATTGAGGCTTAAAGGCAGCTGCTTGGTTAAACTGGACAAATAATTATAATTACAACATTTTTCTGAAGATTATTTAAAACTTTAAATACTTATAATGGCATTGGTGCATATAATAAAAATAACTGAATGGAAACCAAGTGCAAAAATGTACATTACAAAGACATACAATGCAACATACAATGACTCCAAACAATAGCTAGAGCCAATGAAATAAACTATAGTGTGTTAAAAAAACTAATTAAAGGTGCAATATGTAACTACCAATTATCATTTCCATGGAAATGTTATTGGTTTGTCTAGAACAGTGGTTTTCAATACGTGAGGTCCACCTGCCCTGGGGGACGCCAAAGAGTCAATGGGGAGGCGTGACACACACGCAAAGGAAAAATAATGGTCCACATCTGTACACATCTGCAGCAATATTGATACTGGTAATTGTTTGTGTTTTTTTCGCCATTTTGACAGCCTTTTCATAGTTTGGAATGTAACCTTTTTTGCCTTATATGAGGCATGGACCGTCTCCTCCCATATGCCGTGTCTTCTTGCGTACGCTGCGTGGACTGCGCATCTAAACCAGAACTATAACCAAGACTACACCCAAAGAGGACTAAAACCAGGAATAAAACTAGGACTAAACCAGATCCAAACCAGGTAAATCCAGGATTTAACCAGGACTAAACCAGTACTAAACCAGGTCTAAACCAGGTCTAAACCAGGTCTAAAGCAGGTCTAAAGCAGGTCTAAAATCAGGACTAAAACCAGGTCAAAACCAGGATTGAACCAGTTCTAAACCAGATCTAAAACCAGGACTAAAAACAGGTCTAAACCAGGTCTCAATCACGACTAAACCAGGTCTAAAATCTGGACTAAAACCAGGTCTAAACCAGGTCAAAACAAGGATTGAACCAGGACTAAACCATGCCCTCTAAGGGGAGTCTCACATTCACCCAATTTGAAAACCCCTGGTCTAGAAAGTTCCACAGTACGGCCTTAAACTTGCCTATCTCCATGCAGAAAAGCAGGCGACGCCACTAGGTCAAGTCACAGGGGGAGAAAGACTGTATAGATAAGATAACAAACCTTTAAATTAAAACTTTCAAATTATAGTTAAGTAAAAGCAAATAAATGGTGCGACGATAAGTGATTCTGTGAAATTATTGTGAGTACATGTTAAGAAAGTCAAGTTACCCAAAACCTAAATATATATGAACATGTGTTTGCCTGCTAAGGGGAGACTTAGCAAAGGAAATATCAGAGTGGATTGCAATTATCTACTTGGGGCCATTTGCGAGTGACTGCGCGCTGTGGTACACTTCATTAAGCGGGGTATTTTAGGCTCGCTGATTAGAAAAATGGAAGTGATGTTTTCAGGAGGAACACTTGGCACTGGGCCTTGGTGACAGAGTAGTTCATGTTCATGTGCGATGCTTTTTATTCTAACACAAACTTAAGTGTGGAGGTAAGGCGGCTGGAATTCAGTCTAACAAGCGCCTGTAATCACAAGGTTGATTTTAACTTTAATTGAAAATGCTTTGAACTTACTTTTTATCGCAGCAGGGAGGTATTATAGAGCACACAATGCTATTTGAGCACTTCTGATTAAAAGTCCTATATTAAGCAAAATGGACAAAATGAGGTTTACGCCAAGTAAAATTACTGTTACCTCCTCAAAAACATACCTGGATTTGTGTCATGTAGTGGTAGTTTTCAAGTTAACAGCTACCTTTCACCTTTAGTTGAGTAGAGATTTTAAATTCTAGGGATAAAATGATCCAAATGATTCTAGTGAAGGTGTATGGGGTTTAAAAACACAATTGAGCACTTCCTGTATTACTGCATGACATCACAAGGTGGAGTGTTTTCTGCTTGAGAAACAAACTCACCCTAAATATGTAGGATTCGTGTGTTAAACATATGGGAATGAAACAAAACACAACTCCTGGTATATTTTTGATGTGGAAATAACATTGTAACAGCGCAGAAAATAGCCTAATATGGACCCTTTAAAGACTCTTTTCAAAAAACTACAGGAAGAGGCATAAAATAAATTGGTACATTTTAACAAGATTCTGTTATAGTGAAAGAAAAGAAGTCATAAATAGTCATATATGGGGATTATATGAATTTGGAATATTACAATACAGTCGTACGTGCACTGCAGATGATTTTCCTCTACGTTGCACAGGGGGGCAGACAGAGAGAATGAAAGAGATGATGCAAAAATTGGAAGCAGAACCTAGTCAGAACAAAGTACAAATATTCTAAAAGCCACCTTTATGCGGGAGGAAATAGAGATTTTTACCATTATCACAAGTGTTCTCTTTTATAATGTGATATATCACGCTGTCCTAATTATAATCTCAATTTTCATTAACAACACTTTTTTACATTTTACATCAAGTAACCAGTCAGCCTGTCAACCACACATTCATACATCAGTGTCACACTTAGACCGGAGGCACGGCAGGTTAAGCGTCCTGCCCTGGGACACAATGGCAGTATGCAGTGATGTGAGCTGTGATTGAACTGCCAACCTTGGAGAATTATAGTGTGGGAATAAACCTGTAAAGAAGAGTTGTTGTTGCTTACCTGCTTTGATGACCAGATATGGACTTGAACAATTTCATGGTACTAAGTGGTTGGGAACATATTGTGAGCTATTGTTATCTCGATCTCAGTCCAGACAGACATAAATATTAAAACATTTGCCCTTTCTCCAGCAACTCGCAACTTTTTGACTTTAACTACATTTGAGGCGGTCAACCAATCTCCAAGACATCAGTGTAATGGATATGTAGTATATGGACGACAGATATTTTGACAAACTGATAATATTGCAAATGTTGTTCTGGAGTTATGGAGTGTGCATAATTTGAACATCAAATATATCGTCCATGGTTAAAATGTGTTAAAATTACAGCACAAAGAGACAATTAAGAATAAAATGAACAAAAACATCTAGTGTAATTTCCCAAAACTAGGCTATAAGGTGATATTTCTGTACTTTTGTGGTTAATTTCATGGTCCATTCACTTTTAGTGTGGTACTTGATCTTCAACAGATACATTTAGAGGCAATAGAAATAATGGAGAAAAAAAAAAAAGACATTCATTTTTGTATATTCAAATCCCCTAAATAAATGTCGTGCATGCAAAGGTGCTGTGGTTACCTGGCTTCTCTCCAGGTGCAGAGTACATTTAATGGGACATACTGTAGCTGCTTACCTGCTCTCCAGGGCCACATTGCTGCCCAGGACCCAGCTGTCCTGCAGCTGGACACATTCCGCCGTGCTCTGCAGGTGGGCCAGGCCGGCTGAGGGCGGCGGGCTCGGGCTCCTCTGATTGGCCAGTGAGCTGCGACTCAGGGACGTGATGGACGGGTGCTGCTTGTGCGGGGGCGGGGCTGGAGGCAGAGGGGGTGGACCTTGTGGACTGGACAGATGGTCACCTAAAGCAATAACGAAAGGCGTTCAGTTTAGTAAGGGTCCATGTTATGGCCAAGTTTTAGGTCAGATCACAGTAAAAAAAAAAAGTAAAATTTTTAAGGTATAATAAACCTGAAATTGAATGAAGATAAATAAGCTGAACATCATACTGTGGAACATTTCTGGCAAGCCAATATCACCCAGGAGACAGGGTTAGGGTTAAGGTTAAGCCTTACAGGTGTTGGACTCTCCAACAGAAAAGTTGCATCTTTAAAACAACATCTCCACCAAACAAACCAAATTTAACCAACCCCAAAGCAGAATATGGATAAAAACAAGGAAGAAAGTGAAAAGGTAAGAAATAACAAAACAAAAAACTCACCAGCCCTGAGGTAAAGTAAATACGATATATTTCCACATGCTAGCCCCACAGAAAGCACAGATATAAGCACTTTTTTTACGGTCCACTTTCATAATAATTGTGACAGTGGGCTTCTCTTAAGCAGAAGGTCACTTAGAGAGACAGCTGTTCTTTTACGGCCTGCGTTTCACGTTTGATTACAGCCGCACAAGGCTCTCAAATAACTAATGACCAGAACATCCATTAGAGCCGCGAGCGAACAGGTTTTCTAATTCCGCACAAAGCTGTGTAATTGGCCCCCGGAATGGCATGTGGTGATTATCTATCCATCTTCCCTGTTTAAAAGGTAAAAACCCACAGCGCTGACAATTTTGATTTGCTCCAATGAGCTCTGAATGGATCTTGCAAGGGGAAAAAATGGACTTCCAAGTATGGGTGTTGTTCCAGCATGAATTTTTATAAAGCAAATTTACACATAGCAAGAAGAGGTCAGTTCTGATGCATGACTTAACCTTTACCTTATGCATGAGGACCTTGAGGATATTGGCTTCAACTGCAGTTCCTGTATTGTAGCTTTAAAGGAAACGTATTATGCAAAATCGACTTTTAAAAGCTTTGAACCATGTTTTAATGATGTCCCCTCATTATCTTACTCAGACTTCCATTTTGTGTGATTCATCCACGTTTGAGTAACTGTATTGTCTTGAATCTGAGGCCTGAGTGTTCCAAAAAAATTCCGTCCACCCACGGCTCTGTACTTACTTGTAATTCTTTAAAAAATTTAGACTCCGGGCTATACACATAAGGATACAAAATGTGGTTTAGCCATTTTTTCAAAAATAACAACACTAAATGAAAATCCACTGTCTGCTGCAGTGAAATACCATTAGGAAGAGTCTGGGCCAGCAACAGAGGATGTGTTCTGAACAGGAATTCTATACCTATTATTACATTATTTAAGATCAACATTGCAATATACATAATGCAAAATAATTATCTATATACTACTAGTAGTTTGGACACACCTTCTCATTCATTCATTGTGGCTTTTCCTTTATGTTTACGACATTTTACACTTTGCTACATATATTTGATGTCTTCTGTATGTATATAAATAAAAATTAAATTACATAAAATTTTTTTGTATTTTATATTCAAATGCTCAAAGTAGCCACCGTTTGCTTTGTGGACAGTGCTGCAAATGTTTGGTCTTCTCTAAATAAGCTTTCTGATGAAGTCTCTTGAAATGGTTTTCAGGGTCAAGAAATGCCAAAATCAGAGTTAAAAGCAAAGGGAGTCTATTATGAACAATTACGGATGGAGCAATAACCAAAATATTGTGATATCGTATCGTCAAAGTTCTCACAATAATATCGTGAACCATCACAATATATCAAATTACAAGTCTTTTTGCTTAAACTAAGAGTTATGGTGCATCGATAGCTAAAAAGAGAAAGAGAACTGCATAGACCATGATCCTTTGTTCCATGTTAGTGTAGACTACAAGAAGAAATAACAGTTCTAAGCACTTTTAAGTCTTAGTTCTTTGGATTAAGTCTTGTCAAGGCATTTTAAAGAGGAAAAAGTAGTGTACTGACAGTTTTGTTGCCCTCCACATAATATCGCAGTAAATACCTTATCGTGAAAATATTGTACCTAGAGATTTGGATCCCTAATTGTGAGCCTCCCCACCATATCGTGAGCTTTCCCACGATATCGCAATAAATATCATACTGTGAGGTTCATACCGTGACAAGACTTGGATATTGGAACCATCTCGCACTCTGAGGACCTCAGGGACCGGCCTCCTGCTGGTGCCCAGAGTCAGGACTAAACAAGGAGAGTCAGCGTTTCAGGTTCATGCAGCTAAAACCTGGAACAGTCTTCCTGAACATGTGAGACAGACTCTTCTGTGACGCTGTTTAAATCCAGGCTCAAAACATTTCTGTTTAATTGTGCATATAACTGAAAGGTTTTCATTCCGCACTCTTCTCTCCAATTTATGTCTCTCTTTTTTAATTGTAATCTTCATGATTATTTATGTTTTGATTTGTTTTTATTATGATTTTAATGTATTTCTCTGTAAAGCACTTTGAATTACTTTGTGTACGAATTGTGCTATACAAATAAACTTGCCTTGCCTTGCCTTGCCTATTGTTACACCCCTATTAACAATGCAAAATTTGCAATGCAAGTTTTGAGTCATATTGAGTTTTTGTTTGTTTGTTTAATATATTCCATGTCTCAATTCATAGTTTTGATGCACTCAGTGAGAATACAATGTAAATAGTGACGAAAATGAAGAAGAACTCTAATTGAAAGTGTGTCCAAACCTCTGACTGGAAGTGTATTTGATATTTTATTACCAAATACATTAAGTATATGTCTTTTAGAAGTTCATTTAAAAGGACTGTAGTCATTGTTTTTGCAGACTCTAATGGCTGTTCCGTTTTGCCCTTGCTTATAAGCTTTTCCCTGTTCTCTGTGTCCTTCTTTGCGTAACACAAGCTGCAGACAAATGAGCCTTGCATTGCTTTCACGGTGCTTAACGCAAATGTACGCTATTCAGGGCAAGATAACTATAATGGCCCTACATGATGCTACTACTGGGAAATACCACAGCCAGGGTAATGCAAGAAGAACTAGTTGTAACTTACAACGACATTTGCCATAAAGTTCGACCAGAAGAGAGACGTAGATTGATTGCGGTTACAAGAGACATCTGGTTCACCTGACAGTCAAATAAAAATAAGTTATGCTTTGGTTTTGGCCTGGAAAGTATAATGTTAATGAATTCATGAGTGGTGTAACACAGCGGCAGCATGTAACCGTAAATCCCAGAGAGAAAAAATAACCCCAGATGAAAGTTGCATTTGACGGATTGATCTGCTCCTTATGTGACCCGGGTTTTCAAAGTCAATTCAATCAACAGAGAACTACACCGGCTGGGTTTCAGATGATATAAAATTCTATAGAATATATATTTCTTGGAGATTATTGCTACTATTATTGTATAGTTTCTTTGTTTTTTTGCTTTTTGTTTAGTAAAATACATGATTAGTTTCAACATTTGTGGATTACCCTTGTGGACGTTTCTGATAAACTGGAAGAATTGAAAAAACAGAACAACGACACAATATTTTCCATTCCAAGTTTTCTATTCTAGTAATACTTAATTATGCAGTGTGTTATTTGTACCGTGAGTGTGCTAAAGTTCAAGAAAATTGTCAATAAATTCTTGCTTACACGGTATAAAAGCGAGCCTAACAATCACCAGGAAATGTTGCATGATTGCATCAGCTAACAAGGTTGTAAATCAATGTGAATTTGAAGCCGACAGGACTTGTACGAAAACATATTTTATTCAGTTAAATTATAGTGAATTACAGTATGTCTTGAGCAGGTAGTTTATACTGGTAATGATCATCAGCCTCCATGTAAGCCTATATCTTCTGTACCAAAATTCGAATTCACTACATCCAAGAATCTCCATTTTTGTCTTCTTGTAGCCCTCTTTATACCCAAGTATTTACTTTACATCCACTACACATGCACATTTAAAGTGGATTTTTTCCTTCTTTTATAATGTATACATTTGCTTGTGATATTGTAAATTCTTCAAATATTGTCCCATTCCGGGATTCGTAGTTTTTTGGGAATTGTAAAACATTAGTTGCACTGTTCTTTAATTTATTCTTTGTGACATTTTAGACTACAAGCCTTTTCCCAAACTGCAAAGTCGGTGCTGTGTTGTGTGTAACGTGCTCATCCATATGGCACTGCTGGGACCTTTTACTGTAAATGAAGGTGATGAAAGTAGAGCAAACTGCAAATGATGCTCTGCTTAAGTGGTAAGAGGCTCCACCACAGTAAACCAACTGTTCAACATAATAAACATACTGTGCCAAAAACAATTATTTACTAAGAATGAACACTTCTTTATACTAATGGGATTGTGATCTGATCCCTGTGACAATGCTATGCAATTTGGTAAAATTACTATAATTAATTGCTTCTCTGTTTAAAGTAGCTCTATACACAGATGCTTTGCCCCACCCATAATGTGGTGTAACCATAAACTGTATAATGAACTTAGGTAACTCGCTAGCTCAAGCTCTGGGGTTTTAAAATGGCCGCCCATTCAAGTCAATGGGCCGAGCTCAATGGTGCATGACTCCAGATTAGCCTTTAGCCCAGCGAGGTACTTCCGGTGGCTGTGGGCCAATTGAGCATGTGCAGTAGCGCTCTTTTCTCATGCGGGCACAAGTGAATGCACGCTAGCGCAAGCACGGAGCATGGTCTTGTGTATCACGTGATCGCTTTGACCAATCAGAGCGAGAGGAGCTAGAGCGGAGCAAAGCGAAGCCGTAAAGTGCTTTTTAAGACAGAAGGATTTTGAGCTGAGAAAAAGTTTATGATATAAAAATAGGTAAAAATCGCCACAAAATCCAGCATTCTTGAAAGTTGTAGGTGACGAGGACTGTCAGTCGAGTACGAGACATTTGTGATTACATTGCTTTCTATGAGAGAAATCCTCTCTCGGCCCAGGAGATTTTTTCCGCTGAAGTACCAATGAGTGGCCACTACATCAACTGGAGGCAGCTACAAGCTAACAATACCCTATCCAGTTATTTTAATAGATCCATGAGCTAGCAACTGTGT